GAAAACACAAACAAAAAAAAAAAAAAAAAAAAAAAAAAGGTAACACTAAACTCTGCCCAGTAGACTTATGAAAGAAATTTTTTAGTCACCCCACTTGTTGAAAGACCTAATAAACTTGCAGAAATTTCACAAAGGAGGTGAGAATTCCTCTTCTAAAGTGAACTATGGAATTAGTGTTATGAGGCTTATTGAGAGTCAGATTAAGTATTATCAGCTCTAGGTTGCTATGTCATAAAGAAATTTTAATATCTACCCATCTCCTCCTACCCCAAATAGCTTTAAGATTTCAGAATTGTGCCATTCAAAAAAAGTATCTTGAAATTTTGAATGTTTTATAATGTACAGATATTGACACATTAAAAACTTATTGACATGGCAAAATTACATATTTCCTACAATTTAGTTAGAATTTTATTCATGTTGCTAAAGTCACTACAGCAAGAGTAACAACTTTGGGCTGGGAATTTAGCTCAGTGGTTCCACCGCCTGCCTCATAAGCGCAAGGACCCGAGTTCAATCTCCATAAAAAAAAAAAAAAAAAAAAAAAAAAAAAAAGAGTAACAGCTTTCTTTAATGAATGGCAAAAGTCATGAGGAAGTTTTTTTAAGACTTTTATTTTGAGAATTTTGGTATAGTATGCCCGTGACTTACAACTGAGTTCCATTCTGGGTGAATGTTTGTAAGTTAGACTCATTTGTAAGTCTGACAAAGTGAGTCTTACTACACCTTTGATGAAAATATACAATGTATACTGCTTTACACTTCCTAGTAGTCCCCTCCATATCACCACTGCTATTCCTCTTGATTCTGGACATCCTGGGCACTGATTAAACACTGTACAGTGGTACCTTGGTTCATGAACTGAATTTGCTCCATGATTTTGGTTGTGAACCAAATTGGTTGAAAACCGAATCAAGCTTCCTATAAGGTTCAATGTAAATAAGATCGATCTATTCTGATCCCTACTAACGTGGTTATAAACCAAATTAAATTTTTCATAAGGGTCAATGTAAATAAGGTTGATTCATTCTGAACCATATGTATTTCTTAACCACAAAAATATGAAACAAAGTGCAGTACAGTATGAAGAGAGAATACTAACTTTGCTTGAGGTAACTGTCATGGGGGACAGGAGGCTGGGTGGAGAGGAGGTTATGGTTTGGAAGGAGAGTTCCCCTTCAAAAGGACATTGGGGAGATCTCAGGGGTTTTCTCTCTTCTTTGTCTCTTAGCTGCAGGGTCAGTTTTGACCAAAAAAATCTGTCTAATGTCACTTGCTTTTTCCTGTGCTGCAAAACCTTCCAGAAATCAGAGACCACATTACCTTCCATCAGAATCAACACTGTTCATTACAGTTATGCTAGGGTGGTGCTTCTCAAAGAAATCCTGGCACTCATTCCATTTTTTCCATAATGGATTTTATCACATCCCTGCTAACCTCCCTGTCTTCCTCTTCCTCAGGGAATGCCTCTCAAAAAGCGCGTTCTGCTGCTCACTCTGGAGTTCAGCAAGTTCTTCCATTGTCAGCTCCTCCTTATCGTCCTCAACAAGCTCCTCCATGTCTGCACCATCGACATCCAGAGCCATACTCCTGCCCACGGACATGATCTCCTCTACCACCTATGTATCAGACCCTTCAAAGTCACATCCAATGACACATTCTGGCCACTGTTTCTTTCAGGATGAGTTTAAAGTCTGGTACATGACATCTTTCCAGGATTTGTCAGTGAGGTTGATGCAGTGGAGGACACTGAAATGTTTCTTCCAGATTCTGAGTCAAGGATATCTCTTCAGTGACATTAAAACACCTGGTGAAGAATGCCTTTGAGGGCAGCTTCATGAAGTTGCAGATCACTTGCTGGTCCATGGGCTGCAGAAGAGGTGTCATGTTTGGTGGGGAGGAACTTCACCTTTATCCATATCATCCACCAAAGCTGGAGGGTGTGCCAGGGCATTGATCGTCAGAAGGTACCTTTCAGGCTGTCAGAAAGAATATCAATTCAATGGTTTCTGACAATGTTTCAGGTTGTCAGAAAGAATTTCTAAACAGTAGGTGAGAACATCTTTTGCAGCCATTCCATGGACAACTGCCTTGTGCCCCAAGCTTTCACACTGGCCCTCCACATGATAAGCAGTCTGTCCTTGTGTCCTTGTTCACGTTCTGTTCTTTGAATGCATGAGGGGTCTGGGAATGGCCCAGCAGTGGTGGCTTATCTTCAGATTGGCATTTGCATTTGCACACAGCAGAATGGTCAATCAGTCCTTCACGGGCTTGTGCCCTGGCAGTGCCTTTTCCTCCTGCATGATATAGGTTCTGTTCAGTATCTTCTTCCAGAGCCCTGTTTCATCACAGCTAAACACTTGTTGAGCAATGTGTCATTCTACCTTTATGAATTCTGTGAATTCTTTCTTGTGGGCTTCTGTAGTGGCCTTGTCAGAAATGGAAGCCTCACCACGTCTTATCACACCAGGGATGCCACTTCTCTTGCAGGACTTATCAAACCATCCCTTACTGGCTTCAAATTCATCACTTATTGCACTTGTAGAGGGGGTTTCTTGCAGTAAATTACTGTGCAATTTCCTAGCTTTTTCACAGATCATAGCTTCACTAATGCTATCACCTACCAGATGTTTCTCATTCAAACACATTAACAAAAGTTTTTCCACCTCTTCCAGCACTTGTGTCCCCTGCTTGGTTAACATCGTTACTCCTTTTGCCACATCAGTTCCTTTGATGGCATCTTTATTCTTCAAAATAGCTGAGATTGTCAACTTCACCACCTTGTACTCTGAGGCCAGACGAGGCACACAAATAACCACACTCATGCTTTTCTACAATATCCTTCTTCAATTCGATGGATATTTTCTTCAAAACCTTACCATTCTCACTCTGCACTTTCTTGTTACTTTCATTATTGCTCTACACATTCTTGTCACCTTCATTACTGCTCTGCACATTTTGGTTACCTTCATTACCATCCTGTATATTCTTGTCACCCTCATTACCACTTTGCACTTTCTTTTTCCTTTCTTTTCTTTTGTACCAGGGATTGAAGTTGGGACCTTGCGCTTGCAAGGCAGGTGGTGGAACCACTGAGCTAATTCTCTGGCAACTGCAAATTTTTTTACCACCATACTTGCTCTGCACTTTCCTTGGAGCCATCCTGGGTCGAATACTATATAGTACTGTATATGCTAAAAAGCACACAAAAAAGCTTCATAGTAAGTGTGCACATGTCTGTCTGTGGCTACAATCTCAACTAGAGGAAGCAATGAGCATGTGTTAGAGCAAGGCAGATGTCTGCAGTTGTGTTCATCACCTAACAAGAACAGAAGCAAAATTTTGCCAACCACTTCTATTTGAGAACCAAATTGTTTGCAAACAGAAGCATTTGTGAACCAAGGTATTACTGTTCTATGGAAAACTATTGCACTGCACAGTCAATATACAACAGTACCGTGGTACCTCAGTTCACAGACTTAATTCATTGCATGGTTCTGAAAAAGATGGCCACATTCATGTTCATGCAGGAAAGATGGCCGCAGCTGTGTTTGTCACCTCATACAGAGTTTGCAAACAAAAGTGTTAGTGAACAGAGGTACCACTGTACAACTGTGACAATGTCCAACAGACACACAAGTCACTTCTGCAATTTGTCTGCATCTATGAATGTTTGTAACGTGAGGTCTGTTTGTAACTGTGAAAGTTCACAACTCAAATGTTTATAAGTCAGGGACTTACTGTATGAAAAAGCTCATCTACAGATAACTACTATATTTATGTATCAGCTTAATTAAAGAAAATAAGTTATATAAAGTCATCCTTTTTAAACTAGAAAGGACATTCATTCACTGGTACAGGTTATTAAACTCAGTACCTCACATGTGCTAAGCAAGTGTTCTTTCACTGAGCTACATCACCACACTAGAAAGGATACTTTTTTCCTAAATAATTTTGATCAAATAAAGTTAGAGTTGAGATTACAGAATTCTCATATCATCTTCATCTACTTTAAGTGGCATTCAATTTAAGACAGCCAAAGGAAAAATAGCCACACTAAAGGAAATTTAGAGGGAAATACAAAGAACAAGCCACACATCCTAAAACATGAATTGTATGCTATAGGTTCACACATAGGAAATATCTACAAATGTGTTTTGTTTCTTTTTAAAAAGTATATATACATTTACTAAGTCATCACAATGAATGTAATTAATATATAATGCAAATGTAGATAGTAAAAAAATTTTAAAGTAAAAAAGTATAGCTACTTTAAAAGAGAAAGGGTTTAGAAGAAAGAGAAAAAGGCAGTCATTCAACATTTGAAAGGCCAGAAATGTTACAATGGCATAAAAAAAACCCCAGTGTACTGTAGATTAAAACAAAAAAACAAAACAAAACTATGGCTGGTGACTTAGCTCAGTGGTGCCGCCGCCTGCCTCATGAGTGCAAGGTCCTGAGTTTAATCTCCAGTACCAAAAACAAAAACAAAAACAAAAACGAACAAAGAAACTATGTTGACTTGCTTTAGTAGGAAGAATTAATCTTATTTCCTTTTTTATCTATAATAAAAATATGGAAATATCTGGACCACGTTGGCATGAACGAATATGTAGCATTACCTGTAGGACATTCCTTTATATTTCAAGGATATGATCCCTTTTATGAGAAAGTAGGCATATAAAGAAAAAAAATTCAAATTTTCTGGCTTATATTTCTTTAAGGGAAATTCTTTAAGTTTTGAACTCATAGTTAAATTCAGATTTTCCTCATCCAAATTATTAGCAATGAAACAACATATTTCATGGGCAGTCTTCACTTCTTAGCAGGGTATGAAGCAAAAATTGAAGAAAAGGGTCAGGTAGCAGTAGTACTGACCAAAGTTTGTTCAGAATCAGTGCTTTTGGACTATATGCTTCATGTTACTTTCATCAATAAATTTTTAAATTCCCGATAAACAGTAATTCTTCTTATATAAACAGAGGTCTTGTTATTCTCTCAAAGTACAGTTACATAGGGCCAGGGATTTAGCTCAGTGGTTCTGCTGCCTGCTTGCAAGTGCAAGGTTCTGAGTTCAATCTCTGGTACCAAAAAAGAGAAAAAGTAGAGTTATATATTTAGCTCCTTTCTAGATCTCCAAACAATTAGGAAGTATAAATTTGAATATACAGTTTCTTCACTTGATCTTAGCCAAAAGGCCGAGAAGCGATGAATATACAGTTTCTTAATGTCCCTATTTAATTTGCATTGCACATTTAAAAAATAATACTCACCACATGCAATTGACAAGTAAACTTGAGAATCTGGTGTCTGATGTAGGATACGAAATGGAGCCACTTTAGCAGTAGAGTCCAAAACTGAGTCAAGAGTTCCAACCAGAAGACCTGTTACAGTACAAAGACTGTTGAGATAAGGCTTTTATAAGAGGTAAATAAAAATAGTCTTGGTTACTTCCCTTATTGCTCAAAACATAAAAGGAGGAGAGGTTTATTTTGGCTTATGCTTCAGTCCACAGTCCCCTGGCTCCAAGGCAGAACAGCATGGCAGAATGGTATGGTGGAGGAAAACTGCTCATATCATGTGGCCAGGAAGCAGAAAGACAATGAAGGGAGGAGCCAGGGAGGGAGATAAATCCCTCAGGCTACACCCCCAGTGGTCTACCTCTTTCATTAAGACCCTACCTTCTGAGAACAAGCCAAAAATAAACTCCCAGAACCCAATCACACATAGAAAGCCCTACCTATTTGCTCATGAGGCTCCTGGGGGACATCTTGTTATAAAGCATAACAGAAATCAATTATGAGGAGAACCAAAATGTCAGTAAAAATCAGCAGCAAAATACAGCCTCTCTGGGACTCAGAATCTATACACCTGGAAAATAACAACTTGGTGAAAAGTGAAAAAGAAGTAGTTCTCTAGGAATTGCAAGAGAACTATAAGAAAAATCAGAAGCTGCACACAAGCTGGAGAAATGAACTACAACACACACAAAGCAGCTTACCCTGGCTCCTGGTGAGGGGAACCTGTCTCCACAGGTTGGGTGCTACAGGGATGACAAGCAAAGGACTGAGCAAGCAGCACCAGCCCCAAGAATACCCCACAGCTATTGTCAACTGCAAAAACAGCATGTACTCAGCCATAAAGAATGAGAAACTAGAGACATTTATAGTTAAATGGATGCACATTGAGGAAATTCTCTTAAATTTCCAATGATGTCATTATATTGTTTACCAATAAAATTAATTAAAAACAAAAACAAACAAACAAACAGAACAACATGGTGTTTTACTCTGAAAGTGACTCCTTCTACAAAGAAGGCAATAGTTGGAGAACTCCAGTTAGGGCCTACCACATTGCTAGAGAGCATTTAATCAAGCACCACTCTGAGAACAGGCTGATGGTTTGAGAACAACTAAAAAACAAATTTACTTTAGGGTTTTGAGTGTTATCCTCTTATGGTGACTGGGTAAGAGTCATGGAAGACAGTAGCAGAGAGTGTACAGGCTAGACATAGACTCTGAAAAGTTTAAACTCAGGCCATAAAGTACATGGGCCCCACCCTCCCTGGAGAGAAGCCAGGCTCAGTGTGTGTGGCTTCAGAAGTAGCTGGGTCTGACTTTCAGCACAGTAGCTGGATACAAGTTCAACACTCAAAAATCAACAGCCTTCTTGTAGACAAATAACAGACTCACTGAGAGAGAGATTAGGGAAACAATTCTTTCACAACAGCATCCAAAAAAATGAAGTATCTAGGAATCATTGTAATGAAAGAAGCAAAAGGCCTCTACACTGAAAACTACAGCACTCTGAAAAAAGATATTGAAGAGGATATAAGAAAATGGAAGGATATCCCCTGCTCCTGGGTAAGAATAATCACCATAGTGAAAATGGCCATACTACCAAAACTGCTATACAGTTTCAATGCAATGCCGATAGAAATTCCAACAGTACATTTCACAGAACTAGAAAAAATAATACAAAATTCATTGGGAACCAGAAGAGACCTAGAATAGCAAGCCATGCTAGACAACAGACACATGGCGGCGAGTATAACAATTCCCAATTTAAAACTATACTACAAAGACACTGTGATAAAAACAGCATGGTACTGGAAAAGAAACAGACCTGAGGATCAGTGGAACAGACTGGAAGACACAAAAACAACTCCAGATCTACTCAGCTACCTCATCTTTGACAAAGGAGCTGACCATCCCCACTGGAGGAAAGATAGCCTCTTTAATAAATGGTGTTGGAAAAACTGGATCTCAACCTGCCAAAGATTAAAACTAGACCCTTATCTCTCACCATGCACTAAATTAAAACCCAAGTGGATTAAAGATCTAAATATTAAAACAGAAACACTAAACCTGCTGGAAGATAAGTTAGGCAGAACTCTTGAAGACATTGGCATAGGAAAAAAACTTTATGAACAAATCCTCAGTAGCACGGGAACTAGCAAAAAGAATAGACAACTGGGATCTCATCTTATTAAAAAGCTTCTGCACTGCAAAAGTAATCATCAACAGAACTAAGAGACAACCTACAATGTGGGAAAAATTTTTTACCAGCTACTCCTCAGACAAAGGCCTATTATCTAGAATATATAAAGAACTCAAAACAATCAGTCCCCCCAAATATAAAGACCCAATTCACAAATGGGCACGTGCAATGAACAGACATTTCTCAGACAAAGAAGTAAAAGCAGCAAGTAAATATATGAAAAAATGTTCCAAATCACTGGTCATTCTAGAGATGCAGATGAAAACAACATTGAGATTTCACCTCACCCTACAAAGAATGGCTGCTATCAAGAAATCAACCAATAACAAATGTCGGTGGGGTTGTGGGGAGAAAGGAACCCTTCTCCATTGTTGGTGGGAGTGCAAACTGGTGCAACCACTATGGAAATCAATATGGAGATACCTCAAAGAACTAGGATAGGAGGTTCCATTTTTTTTTTGGTACCAGTGATCGAACTCAGGACTTTGCACTTGCGAGGCAGGCAGCAGAACCACTGAATTAAATCCCCAGCCATCCTTCTGCTGGGTATCTTTCCAAAAGAATTAAAAGAATCATACCACAGTGATATATGTGCACCCATGTTTATAGCACAGTTTGTAATAGTGAAAACTTGGAAACAGCCCATTTGTCCATCAGTTGGAGACTGGATAAAGAAGATGTGGTTTTTCTATAAAATGGAATACTACTCAGCCATAAATAATTAGAAACTAGAGCCACTCATAGGAAAATGAATGCATATTGAGGCCTTAGTCTTAAGTGAAATAAATAAGATACACATGTGTAAATACCGAATAGTTTCTCTGGTGTGAAAAACTATAATTGTAAATAAGATCCTATTGCTATAATTGACAATGTGAAATAGGAAGAAAAGAGCTAAAAGTGTAGCAGAAGTGGGAAGGGTAGGGGAAAGGAAATAAAGGAAAAGAAAAAAAAATATGAGAAAACGAAAAAATGGAAATAAAGTTTATATAAATAGGGTAGGGAGGGCAGGGATATGGGAAAAAAATGAGAACCAAGATCTGCCATGTAAAGGTACAAGATCCCAGTGATGAATGTAATTGTACTGTATACCTAAAATGTACCAATAAACTCAATAAGGAAAAAAAAAAAAAGAAGTAGCTGGGTCTGAAAGTGTTGGTATAAAATACCATGGACTGCTTTAACCCCGGCCCTGATGCCTACATCCAGCACAGAGCAGAGATCTGACTGCTTTCTCCATCTACCAACGTGAACAAAGATATTCCTCAGTGTGGACAGTTGCTATAGCCTGTGGTGAACAGACACAGGGTCCTCTGGAATGGGGTAAATCTCATGAACCCACAGGGCATAGAGCTGTTTGGAAAAAATGTGAATTGCTGGATTTCAAAATAGCAGATCCTAGAAAGAAATTATTCATTCAAAATTACACAGAAAAATATGTTTTTCAGACTCATTCATTTTTCTTCTTAATGGATTTTTGGGGATTTGGGGGAATTATCCTTTTTCCTTTAAATTTTTTTTCTTTTTGATTCTTACTTTTTCTTTTTTGTTTTCTTGTTCTTGACTGTTACTTGTATCTAATTTTATTAATTTCATTTTACACCTTAATTGGATCCTTTATCTCATACTTCTCACTTTACATTGCTTAATTTTTTAAATTTTTCTACTTTTATTCTCCCATTCCCCACTCCTTCTATCTTTACTAGTATAAACATTAATAGGATATTTAACATAAATACTTCTCAAACTCTTTAATGAAATCAAAAGGGAAGAAGTATTCCTAAAATCATTCCTAGAAGCTGGCAATACACTGATTAAAAAAAAAAAAAAAAAAGAAAGAAAGAAAACAAACAAACACACACACACACAAAACTACAGGTTGATTTTTATAATGAACATAGACATAAAAATTCTCAAGAACATATTTGCAAACAGAATGCAAGGAATCCTTGAAAAAGATCATACATCATGACAAGTTGGCTTCATCCCAGGGATTCAAGGATAGTACCACATATGTAATTCAATAAATGTAATACACCACACAAACAGAAGTAAGAACAAAATTCACATGATTATCTCCAAAGATCCAGAAAAAATTTAGACCAAACAGAACATTAATTCATGGTAAAAATCTTGAAGAAAATAGGTACAGAAGGACCATATCTCAGTCTTATAAAAGCCATTTATGACAAACCTACTGTCAACATCATACTATATGGAGAATAGCATAAAGCTTCCCTTTAAAATCAGAAACAAGACAAGGATATCTGCTACCATCACTTCTGTTTAATATAGTTCTCAAAACCTAGAGCAATAAGACAAGAGATTAAAACAGTATGGTATTGGCATAAAACCAGACGTATGTGTATAAATAAGTCAGAATAGAAAATGTGCAAACAACTCCACATTCAGCTAACTGATTTTAACAAAAGGATCAAAAAGTACACTGGAAGAAACACTACCTTTTTTACCAAAAGCTGCTGGGAAAACTAGCTATCTACATGCAGAAGACTGAGTGTAGACCTATATCTCTCACCAGGCAAAAACTAAAATCAAAATACATCAAAGATCTGAATGTTAAAATAGAAACAAGCTGCTGAAAGATAAAAGAGGTACAATTCTTTAAGACATAGGCAAGGACTTTCTGAACAGAACCTCAATTGTATAAGAAATAACATCAAGAATCAACAAATAGGATCACATCAAATTAAAATGTTCTGCACAACAATGGAAATAACAAGAGCAAAAAGACCACCTATGGAACTGAAAACCATTTTGTCAGCCAGGACTAATGCCTAGAATATATAAAGAACTCAAAAAAATTTAGCCTGCCCCCAAACAAAAGATCAAATTAAAAAATGAACAACTGATATGGACACTTCTC